AAAATGAAGCTCAGCGTAAGTTCAGCCAGGAGGACTTTTTTAATGCTATATCCATTCACAGTTCTCTCTCTATCCCACTCCCATCGCTTCCTCCAATAAGCTGAGAGAGGTGTCCCCTCTCCTGGTTAGCCAATCAAACTTTGCCGTGATCTCCTTCAGCCATTCATGCTGTTTCAAACTTTAAATCTGTTCTCATCTCTGCTCCTGTCAGCTGTCATTTTAAGCAGAATTGTTGCTCCTGCCTCCACCCCATTAACCTCCAGTTACCTTATCCAGAGCCCAGGATGAGCTCATCAAAAGCCCACTCCTCTTCGCATCCAGATCATCAGCTCCCTCTTCATCTCATCTCATCACCACCACCAGCGTCTAGGCTCCATAAAGGAGGAAATCCCTAATCTACTACGTCCTTACCACCCTCCTGGAATAGATGACATCACAAACCACATGATCACTACCCACATGAGCTTTGGGATGGTCACAATAAAATACTGCTCTAAAATGTGCACTTTTATCTTGAAAAGGACACTTACTAAGATGACTACAGAAAGACATTTGTGGTCACAGATGCACGAAAGAATCAGTATCTGGAGTGAGCACCATTTGCCTCATGCAGTGTGACACATCTCCTCCACATAGAGTTGATCAGGGGGTTGACTGTTGCCTGCAGACTGTTTGCCTACTTCTCTTCAGTAGCTCTGTGAAGCAGGCAGGAATTGGAACATGAGTGAGCAAATCATTTGTTGCATCAGCTGTTTGAATGGCTGGTCTCATACGATGTTGTCAGTGAAGATGCCAGCTGGATGTGGAGGTCCTGAGCTAGTGTGGTTACATGTGATCTGTGGCATACCAATGACACGCTCCCTCAAAACCTACGACTCTGTGGCGTTGTGTTGTGAGATCACACTGCACATTTTAGAGCGGCATTTTATTGTGACCATCACAAGGCACACCTGTGTAGTAATGATGCTGCTCAATCCGCATTTTGATATGTCACAAACTACTGGCCATATTTTCATGAAACTTGGTGGAATGTAGCACGGGCCAGCGAAGGACGCATTAAGTTTTGGAGCGGATCTGAATCACGTAGCAAATACCCAAGTTATTTTTACTCTTTCATTAACATTGCAAGAGAGTATGAGGCCTTTGCAGAGTGAATATCATAAATCTTAAATCCAGGAGATGGTATTAAAGTTCATTAATGTCAAAACAGCCAATTGTAGAGATACGATGACTCATACCACAATCCACATTCACAGGTGCCAGTAAACCTCCGGGATCGCCTACACATGTACAGTAGCTGCTCAAACTTTATACAGAAAGCAGTCATCGTTAGCGGTACAATTATAGCAACACTTTTTTTCTCAAGCCAAGATGTGGCTATGGAAACTTAAATACACACATATCATACAACTAATTATACTCTTTCTAACATCCAGATATGAATGCTCTGCCATAGACTCTGCCAGAGATATTAACTTCAGTTTGACTCAAGTAAAGATTTCTTTGCTGGGGTATCCACTGGATCAGTTGGCAGAGCAGGTGCCACATGTACACAGGTAATGTCCTTTGGGTTGGGTCCATGGGTTTCAGCCCATGGCCCTTTGCTCCATGTCGTCCCCTCTTTCTCCCTTTTTCACGCCTCTGACTGTCCTGTCATTAAAGACCCCCCCAAAAATCTTTAAAGATTTCTGGTTTTCAGGTTTTAACAAATGTATGTTGAGTATTTGAAATGTTTCCAATTCAAAGATCAGTGTTCTTGATCTCCAGACCAGTCTCAATACCACTTTTTTATGGGCTCAGTCTTGACTGCATTTTTACTTGGTCTCGTCTCACTTTCAGACAAGGAGGACTCTTTATTTCAAGATTGGTCAAAACCACAATTGAGGGGACATCACTAAATTGCTCGTTGAATAAAGATGAAGCTGATTTCAGTTCCTTCATGTTTGTATTTGTTTACTCGTAGAAAACAAAGGAAAATTCCCATTGCATAAAATTCACCTTGATTATTTTATCAATGTGGATCCTTCAGATCAATTTAAGTATCTATGGTTTACATGTTTCATCTTTTATCAAACGAGTGTCATGCAATGTGGGACTCACACTGGTCTGGTCTCAACCCTTCCAAGTCTTGGTCTTGTTTCGGTCTGAACACACCTTGGTCATGACTTGGTCTCAGCTTACGTGGTCTTGACTACAACACTGAAAGAGGAACATACACAGCTAAGATGATGAGGCTCTAGCTAAGCACAGTCATATTTTGACATATTTCTAATAGTTTTAAAATATATCCAGACACATAGTGGTTGGGCTTACAGATGTGCATAACATAGAAGACATGACTACTGGCCTTGGTGAAGATCTGCGCTCCCTGAGTTCCCTCTGAATTGTAGAAGTCTATAGTAGCAGAAAATGGAGAAACTTGAGCATGAGTACATCCAAATTGCATGTTGATGGAGTGAATATACTCTCCAGTCCTGTCACACTATTACAGTATAATGAATCTTCATTAAAATAGCTCATCTAGTGACGGTGAATTGAGTCGAATATCTAGCAGATTACAATCCTGGCTATTTTGAATGTTGGTGCTGAGCAACATCATACAGTTCTCAGTTCATAATCCGGCTTAAAGTCTGAAACTTCACCAGCATTTTATCAGCTTCACCTCACATGCCACGCTCTGCTCTTGAAAAGAAATCAACAGCTCGGACGAGCATCGTTCACCATATGTTGTTTTATTGCACTGAATTCAGTAGCTAAAATAAAATATGCCTAACATACATAGGTGGTGGAATCCTCAGATTTGTTGGTTAAAAGGCAGCAAAATGAGAAATAAATATATAAATAGATGACTGACTGACAGCTCCTCTCCTACACACACCTTTAAGTTGACTGCACTCAAAATAACCTTACACTCAACCCGAGCGGATGCCTCTGGCAGGTGGTGTGGTGGCACGGGGTTGGAGGAGAATAGTAATGAGGGATTGATCGAGCCCATTGGCAGTGACTGGCTAGTGACTGATAGTATCTCTCTTTCCTCGGATGGGTCAGAGTCACAGCAAACCTCGTGTTCAGTAACCAGGCAGCTAAAGCCACTGGACAGGATCTTCCAATGGTTCGACCTGCTGACCTGCTCACAGTTCCTCGCCGGCCGCAGGTCCGCAGAAAGAGAAGTATCATCTAAACACATGAACTTATTAACAAGTAGAAGGATTTCAGAGTCTGGTTGTAAAAAAGCAGTCAGTGACACACGTCTTATTGATTCAGCATAGCATCACAAAGCAGCAATTGTTCAACAACAGATGTCAAATCTTACAATCAAATAATGTGAAATGAAAGAGGTAAAGTATGCAGCAATATGACCCATCGGGGTTTCTTGTTAACCACGTGTCCAAGTAACTGCTTGTAGCCCTTTGACTGGTGCAAGAAACATTCAGATCAGTCTTAGTGCATTGCTGGTTTCAGGATGTTTGATTATCCACGATTGCTTTTTTCCTATGTAATTCCCCTGTTTTTAAAGGAGCAGTGTGTAGGATTTAGTGGCATCTAGTGGTGAGGATCGCACATTGCAACCAGCTGAAACTTGCCGGTGATTTCATACATTTTTATGACATTTTATCTCGTTTTCATGAGTTTATTTAAGTAGTTTAAAGCAGTGGTTCCCAACTGGTCCAGCCATGGTGCTCAGACTTCTCCTTAGCCATTAGTTCAAGGTCCACACAGTTCAATACATTCAGCGACATTCTTGCATTTGTTCATGTTGTCGAGCTAGTTTGCTGTCTCTGTCAAGTAGCTGTCCGTTAGTCACTCACTCTACAACAGAAAACAACACTTCAAAATAAAAGCTATGCGCCAAAAATCACTGTACATCAAAATAAAGTGTTTTTTTACAAACTTGACACGTTTGCAAGTCACCTGTGGTCCATTTAGACTGGATCCATGACCCACTTTTGGACAACGACCCACCAGTTGGGAACCACTGGTTTAAAGTAGCAGCAATGGATTGAAGTTGTTTTGCAGCTATACCGATGCTTGCCATGCTAGTAGAAGCAGTAATGTTGGGCATGAAATATGTGGCTACGCTGGCAGTCTGTTGAACGGCTTTTTGGTTGTCTCGATGCTTTGTCCCTTTAGCACGGCTGACCAGAGCTGCTGCCGCCATGTTACAGATGTCAAATGTTTGGGTGCAAAGCCTACATTCAGCGCGGTGAGGGAGGGCATCTCTATATTTGTCGTAAGCCATTGTTAAACATGCACTTCAGAGGCATTTGCAGATAAGCAAACTGCTAGCGCTTGCTAACTTTACTTGCTCATTAGACATTCCTGCTGCCAAATAGCTGCACACGCCAATATGTAGCAATTGATACAAGTGACATTTCAACAGTCATGCAGTGCAGGTCTAGATTTTAAATTAGTAATATAAGGAATGTATTAAGCATGATAGACATGTTTTGGGATTTCAAGTATATATTTTAACAACAGCCAACCCATTTCTATGCCTGGAAAACAGCTTTTCTAATTTCATAACTTCTCCAGGAATTTCATGACTGTGGGAACCCAGTTTAAACCGGTAAAAACACTGAATTAAGCAGTTTCATGTTACGAATCAGTGTTTCTCTGATGTTGTTTGGCTCGTCACATGCAGGCCGCTTACCCAGCAGCTGCTAATGTGAGCTTACCTTTTTTCTCTGACAACTTAAGATCCGAACATTAAGGAGGTTTTTACTGGAAGCCGAATTATCCGCAGAGGTCTCTTCTTGTCCAAAACAAATGGACCAAGTAATTTAAACCAGTAAAAACACTGAATAATGCAGTTACACATTTAAACAGTGTTTTTCTGGTGCTCTGGTCGCAGAGGGGCTGCTAACTATGGTGGCCCATGTGAAAATGTGAAAACCCTATGTAGATATAAACGGCTCATTCTAACAAAAACACAATCATTCGTATTTTCAGGTGATTATACACCAAAGAAAACATACTTATCATATTAAATTTCTGCCAATATATCCCCCTAAATCCCACACACTGGACCTTTAATCTGTTCTAACTAAAAACAGAATCTCACTCACTCACTCGAGTGCTTCGATTCACAGTACCTTTGTATACCCATAAAAAAACACAGATTATTGCATACTGTGCTGATGGCACACAAACAAATGTTCTGCACCGTAGTTATTGTCAAACGAGTTGGCATCAGTGGCGCGCCTCGCCACGCGCCGCAGCAGTTGTGAAAATGTGTCTCTGAAACTGGTTCCACTCTCCAGTACTCTACAGAAAACCATCATCGCCCTCGAGTTCAACACATTCAGAAATTAATCCCACTCAGACAGACAAACATCACATTACATTCATTACTTCAGGTTTTTTTTCTTGAGCGTGATCTGATTTGTGTGACCCATTTGGGTGTGCAATATTGCTGAAACGCTATCTTGGAAGACATGCCGTCATCAAACCATTAGGTGATCTCTGAAACGAGCAAAGTGCACAGTCTGTCTCTCCTCGAATCTCTTAAGGGGGTAAACCTTGCATTCACACGACACACTCGGTGATGGGAAAGGACATAAAAAAGGACAATAATTTTTGGTTTCAATCATAACTGGATACAGTTGTGGACAAATTTCCAACTAAACGGATGCAGCTAAAAGTTTACACAAAATTGCCTGGACAAAACAAAATACTTATAACAAATCACAGAGTGTGGTTATAATACAATACATAGAACAATTCATATTTTCATGAGGTGCTATATATACCCATCAGTAGGTTTTGGATTTTATTACTATATTCAAAGATGCAATATCCTGTAGAAAAAAGTATCCATCATTGTCCATTATTATCCCCTATCCATTCAATCTGATTAAAAAGTGAAACCACCAATCTGATTAGAGTAACACACCCTCCTGCTGTAAAATCTGACAAAGTAGTGGTTAAAACAATGCCAAAGAAGGAGGCGACCTCCTGTTTGTTCAGGCATTAAAGGAGGGTGTGTCTGAACCTCACAAGTTGGATGGAAGTTTGGACTGTTTGTGTTCGGTCTCTATCATCTTAGCGGGGGATCTAACGAGGGGAGATTGAACGCCAACAGACTGGTTCTGAGGTTCGGGACCTGAATGCGTCCGACTGACGGGAGCAACTTGACCCGGGATTGGGCTGTAGGGTTTACTGACAGCCATGGGGGAGGAGAAGGGGCTGGATACCCCCGCTGCCCCCTCTGAGGGGCCGCTCATGGCCAAAGGCCTTTCCTGGTGTATAGAGCTGTGAGAGCCTGAGATAGTCTTTATTTCCTGGGTAAAGAGATCCACCGAAGACTCGGCCCTCTCTTTGAGGGTACAGGCCACCCTGGCAGGGCATGAGGTCTGAGGGGTTAGAGGGCTGCGAGAGCCAAGGGTGCTGGGGAGCTCACTGTGGCAAACTGTCCTTCCCCTCACAGGGCTCTGTATGCTGGGACTGTGGACTGGAGGCGTGTAGCAGGGCGAGGCCTCGGCGGAGCCATACTGAGCCAGGGAGGCGAGGGCCGAGTGCTCGGGGAGAACCTGTGGGAGGAAAACAGACTGGAGACCTGCGAGGCTTTGCTGCGCCAGAGAGGCTGTGGCCCCGCCGAGGCCTCCGACTGCAGACCCTGGCTGAATAAATCCACTGGAGGACTGAGTGCTGGTGAGGAAGGGAAAATGTGGGAGGTTCAGACCACTGGATGTCCTGCCTGCTCTGTCATGACCGAACCCCATCTGCTGCGTAGTGGCGTGAGAGGACTGCTGCAGCTGGCTTAGTATGGGGCCGACTGAGCTGGAGATCAGAGGGCTTATGGCGGAGGCAGAGGGGGCTGGGAATCTCCCGGCTAGCCTCCCTGGCACCCCCTGCTGGAGTAAACCTATTGGGTGTGGCGGGGTAGTCATAGCACCATGGAAGGGCTGAGGGTGGAGCTGAGCAGAGCAGGTGTAGGAGACTGTAGCCTGGCTGATGGGGAAGACTGAGGCCATGGCGGAGTGTGGAGGGTGGTGCGGGAGCTGGTGTGAGGGCAAAGGGGTCAGAGGCTGCAGGCTGCTGGTGAAGACGGGCTGGGTCGTCAGGGTGGGCGACACAGATCCACCGGCGAAATGCTGTGCCCTAAGGGACGCCGGTGTGGAGGTCTCAATCCCAGATCTGACTCTAATGGAGCTGGTAGGAGAAGCGGGTCCTGAGCCACAGCTGCTGGATGTGTTCGCTCCCACATGGACTTTCTTTGGATGGCTGATTGGATCCTTCAGGAGGCCAGATGTCAGAGGATGGTGGAAGAGGATGGGAGGCAGCTGGGAGTGGTGGGCTAAGGCCAGAGCCAGAGGGGTGGTGGCAGCAGCTGCCTGGAGAGGAGCCTGAACCAGCGGGGCCCAGATGACTGGGGTGGGTGATGGGGGCGCGGGGGGAGGCTGCGGGCTGGTCTGGATCAGCTGCGTACACTGGGCCATGTCCCGATCATGCTGAACTATTCTTTGGATGATCTCGGTCTCTTGGAAGTTTAATGTGCCAGAACTTTGGTGATGCTGGACTTTATTCTGAAGAACAGAGTTCCTCTTACCTGTTGAGAAAATGCAAATAAAGCCATTTTCTTTTTTACACATATATAAAGCAGCAACCAGTTAACATGTTTTGTGAGGTGTTATGCTACAGCACAATGTGGCTGAAACTGAAGACAGAAAGGAATCTAAAACAGAGTAAGTGTGTGATTATTGTGTCCAGCAACACCTAAAAAATAGACTGCTGGGCAACTATCAATAAAAGAGACTCTGCAAAACCAGGCTGACATGAGATGAACAGACTGAAAACTCTAGAAGAAAATAGAGAAAATCTAATATCACAACGTATTTTAACCAAATACCTCAATATTGCAGTGATATTGTAGGGTTGACAATTGGTGCTTTCACAAAATATATATCTAAAGATTTTTGATAAATAATCATCAGTAATGTGGATTTGATGACTAAGTGGATAAATGCAAATAACAGATCAGCTAGAACAGACTGGTGAGTTCAGAAAATTACGCTCTACTATAATGCAGCCTTTAAAACGAGGAAAAGATATTCACAATACAACGATACCCAAATCTATATAATCTGTCTCATATCAGGATATCAACAAGATATTGATATATTGGTATATACTCATACTGCGTAGGATCCATACTAAAAATGTACGTATGGACAAAAGCCAAAAATGTTGTGCGCGAAAAGAATTTCATTCTTCCATCTCACCATCTGTGTCGCCAATTTCCCATCTCCAAAATGTTCGTAAGCATGGGTCAAAGTTTCTCCCATCAGGTCTGTTCTAAAGATTGCAATTTTTGTGCGGGAAGTGGAATACACTTCTTTCAGGCCTCGTTTTGTGCATACGCAATGTTTATAAATGAGACCCCTGGTGACCAGTCACTGCTCTCCATTCCATGGACCCAGTTAAAAACAAAATTAGGTCTTCCCCCTTCAGTGATACATTTAAAACCATTTTAAGAAGTCCTCCAAACCCTTGCAGATAGCAAAATACAGACACAATTCATATTTATAGTTGTGTCTAATTAGGTTAATATTTTATTGATTTTTTTTGAGTGTTAGACGAATTGTTTGGTAACGTATTCATAGCAGATTCCTGTCTGAAGAAGATTCTAAATGAATATGGATGCATTAATGTGAGAATGACAGTGACCTGATTTACGTCATTGATCATATTTAATCCACTGTGTGACGTCAGTGAGCATTTTATTTTTGTGTATTGAAAAGAAATAATCAATTCAATTCAATCAATTCATCCTGGACTGCTATTAATAGATTGTTGGAGTGGCTTTCTTGGATCCTGTGTTTAAATGTGCGCCTCAAATCATGTGTTCTGTCACCAGATGCCTCCACAATCACTGTAGTTTCTCAGTGTACCATCAATGAAATGTTAAAAAATATAATAGACCAGCATTAAATGTAACATAGGGAGAATAAATACAAGCAAGATATCGATACATAAATAATAAATAATATTTCACTGTGAAAGATGAAACTGGCTCCTACATGCAGGTGTTATCTTTTGGTAAAATACTCACCGATGCGGTCCAGGCGGTCGAGAGCCACAGTCTCAAAGGCCCTCCTCATCATGGGATACTCCTCCAGCACCTCATTGAAGTTGTCCACCGACAGAGAGTACAGCCGACAGTAGTTATCTGCTCGCACACTCGCTGTCCTCCTGCCTCGGGTCAGCAGGCAGATCTCTGCAGAGAAGACAGGGGAGGAAATAAAGGTTAATTATTTGTGTCAGTTATATTAAAACACGTCCTGCTGAGTGAAAATCAGATTAATATCAAGGATAAAAACAGGTAATTAATATGAAGTGCCATAGGATGGTTTCCCACTTGTGTGATACATTACAGCCACATTTATATCTTTTTAGATCCATTCACAAAAGGGGAGGCAAAAATAGTATTATCAGTGTGAGACGATAAAACACGAAAAGAGTGATGCCTCTGAACCCCACAGATGGAGCACTTACTGCAATTTCTGCAGCTTACAGTTTGTCCTGACCTCATCTGTCGTGCCAGATCAGAAAAATAAAATAATGCGCCATTAAAAAAAAAAAAAGTAGACATATTTTCAGGACAGACATATTGAGGATATAGACACAAACACACACAGAGACTCACACGCTCTCCCTCTCTCTTTTAAACACACATTTCCTGTCCTCATTTACCACATTCACATCTGTGTGCGTTCAGCTGAGTAGCTTTAAGCCAAAACATATCATGTTTAGTAATCACCACATCGTTTTTGTATCAGAAAAGTATGGTTAAACATTAGAGTATTGCTTTGGATGTCAGATCACACTGCCTTCATTTGCAAATGCAAGTAAATTATATATTTATATTTCCTTGCTGACATTTGACGATGACATTTCGTATTTCTGCACAGCTGGATACTGACAATGAGACGACGCAACAAGGGTGACAACAAATTCAAAGTTCTGCATTTCAGCTTTTAAATATGGCGTTAACAAAAGAGGGAAAACCCCCACAGATGGAATCAAAGATCACAAAGCTTTTGCTCCTCTTAGTCCCGAGCCCTTTTAAGGAGATGATGTCGACAATTTTTCCCAGCTGTAATAGTCAGGGAAGTTAATCTGCTGAGTGCCAGAGCAAAATAAATCAAAACAAATCATGCCATCAGCACTCCTTCACATACATTCAAACTGACCCAGTGCCAGTGATATTAGCATGCGGGCCACACAGCAGCTCGTGTGCAGACACTACCTCCAAAATAAGAGCCGTCAGACAGCTTGGTGTCATTGCTGTTCTTGGTGATGACACTGACGACGCCGTGCTGGATGAAGTACATCTTCTTGCCGATGGTTCCCTCTCTGATGATGTAGTCGCCCGGCTGGAAGACCTCGAAGCGCAGCTTGGTCAGCATGGAGGTGACAAAGTTGGGATCAGCGTTGGCGAAGAGCGGCATGGAGGCCACCAGTTTGCGACAGTTAAAGTTGATGATCTCCTGCACAAGACACACACACACACACACACACACACACACACAGAAAAAAAGTGTTTCAGATTTCAGCCTTCGCAGCATCAGTGTCACTACATGTGTACATTTCAATCATTATAAAAGCAGGGCGGTTAACGGCTTAGTGCTCTGTTAATGAGGTTCCCTGTCCTCATAAAGTCTCCCGCCATTACTAATCAGATTACACCACTATTAACATTATCGTGCAAAGTAAGGGAGGCATATTAGATTGCATAAATAATTAACTGTGAACCATTTAGGACAAGGATGCTCACGTCATTAACTCTGAGAACCGTATAAAATAAAATACATTAAAGCATTTCTGTAAACACTTTAACCCTCTTATTCAGTATGTGTCAGCAGTATATAAACAGTCAATAAATGGTTTTTAGAGTGTAGTTTTCAGCAGATATGATGACATTTTGAAATGACTATGAATAATAACAACACTGATTATCTGTTTATACACCAGCCTCCACTAATGGGCACCAACAGGAGTTAAAGTTGTTGACAAACACATTAGTAAACACTTATATCTGCTGACATCTGCATTATAGTGTCTCATAAACCATTTATTGACTGTTTATATACTGCTAATAAATGCTATATAGGAGGAATTAAAGTAAAATGCTGCCAATATTGTGATAGATGTTGAACATTATGATGACTCAGCAGTATTATTATCAGGACAACAGCAATAATAACAACATGACTTGTGACCTCTCGCAGTGGCTCATTCAGCTCCTCCAAGATGCTCTCCTCATCAAACATCTTGCCCTGGTAACGGTGTTCATAGTAGTCGTGGATCCTCTGGCGCATGTCGGCGGGGAGCTTGTGGAAGGACATGTACTGCTCCACCTGCTTATACTGTAACAACAACACCAGTAACAATTATAAACTCATTTCACAACAAACAAACACCACAGAAATATGTGTAACTGTAATGTAACTGCGAGAGAAAATGCAAAGTCATGTCAAAATGAATATATTAAAGTGATTGATGTGTTGGCTCAGAGGTGGACTATAATGTGTCTCATTATGTTAACAGTCAACTGTCAGGCCATCTGTGAAACCTGCCCACAGAGCAGCGCTGTGCCTCTGTCCCATCTGACAAATACAGTCGTGCTCTGCAGGCTGCAGCTAATAACATTAACTACTGTGTCCTTCAGCCGTGTACTCTAGCAGCAGAGCACCGTGAATGGTGCGTGCACCAACTCTACTGTATGTGCGTTACGTCCTGCTGTAAGGCTCTGTTTTGCTTTTATTAACTAGCTTTTTACACCTCACCACTGTCTCTACTGTTTTCTGTGTTAATAATCCACAACACATCTTGTCTTTATGCTGCTCTCTCCCGTTTGATCTATTAATATTCTCCCTCTGTGGGGCATTTTCTCACTTATGTGCCTTAAGATTTATGACAGGAGGGTAAAGTCTTCACATAAACACTTTGTCAAAATGTCAAACAGCATCATCAGCATTTAAGCTATATTCTGATCAGTCGTGGAATAAGATCAGATTCTTTATTTAAAGGAGCAGTGTGTAGGATTTAGTCACATCTAGCTGTGAGGAATGCAGATAGCAACCATCTGAAATTCAGGTAGAGTTCCTTCAGTTTTCACTGTTCGGGAGTTTTTTACCAGGAGCCGAATTATCCGCAGAGTTCTCTTCCTCTTAAAAGCAAACAAACTAGGCGATTAAAACCGGTATAAATACTGAATAAAGAAGTTTTACATCATAAATCTGTGTTTCTGCAACAGACGCTAACCCGGCATCAGCTGATGTTTGTTCACCATTTTTCTCTGACAACTTAAAATCCAGTCACACAAGAGGTTTTTACCAGGAGCCAAATTATCTGCAGAGTTCTCCTGCTCTCCAGAACAACCGGACCAGATGATTTAAACCACGAAAATCACTGAATGAAGCAGTTTCACCTTCAAAAAATTGGTGTTTTTCCAAAGCTTCCATCGTGGAGGCACTGTTAACTACGGTAACTGACATCAAAATTTAAAAAAGGGGATGGCTCTTTCTAGAGACAGTGTTTGGTTTGTCATTCTGGGCTACTGTTGAAATATGGCAGTGCAACATGGTGATCTCTGTGGACGAGGACCCGCTCACTATGTAGACAAACGGTCACAAAAACACAATGATTCTTATTTTTAGGCATTATACACTAAAGAAAACATACTTATAATTTTATGTTTATTTGTGCCAATATATCCCCCTAAATCCTACACACAGGACCTTTGACTAAAAGCAGCAACACGACAATGGACAAAAAATAAAAAATAGCACAAAATAAATTAATAAATAGATAAAAGTTACAAAGTTACTTAGAAGTTGAACTCCTGCACTGAAAATCTTACTCACAATAGTAAAAGTGCATTAGTATCATCAGGTAATTGTGCTTAAATTATTAAAACTAAAGTACTCATTATGCAGAAAAACAGCTCTTATAAGTGTCATTTTATTATATATTATATTACTGAATTATCAATACTGACTGTTTATAATAACGCATCAGATTATATAGACTGATCTAATGTTTTGTATAGGACTGCACGATTAAATAAATATTAAAATATTGTTGAAAAAACAAGTAGACCACGTGCAATAACCAAATTTAAGGAGCTGTTATTATAAATTAATCACTGTGGTGTTACAGAGATGCCCTGGCATATAAATCATAGTCCAGACATAAGAGAACATGCTTGTTTTGTGTATACCTGAGCAAAAATCACATTATTGTCATTTTCAAAAGCTTTTTCTCTGTGAAAATGAAATGCAAAGCTTACCATTTCTACCTAAATCACAACTCATACGGCAATCGTGGTACCTGTCAAAATAATCGCACTGGTATGTTTTTTGCATATTTTGTCGCCCTAGTTTTGCTGATAAAATTGTAACCTCAAAAGTAACTTAAAATCTTAAATAGATGTAGTTGAGTATAAGTTTAAAAATCATAAAATGAAAATACTACTTGGGTACAGTTTTTGTGTAAATGCTCTTCCATCACTGATTTCTAAAACTAAAGAAAGTAGCTTTGCTGAGAGAAGTCAGCCCTGCAGAGAACAAACGCCCACCTTTTCTTGGTACTGCCTCCTGGAGGAGTCCAGAGACTGAATGAGTGCAGTCGCATGCCCCACAAACATAGCAAAGCAGGTAGCGCCCACAATCATGCTGAGGATGGTGAGCCACACGTCAGCCATGCCGATGGGGGGGTATAGGCCGTACCCGATGCACAGCATGTGACTCATGGCCTTGAACAGGGCGTAGGAGTACTGCTGACCCCATGTGTCGTTCTATAAGAGACGAAGAGGAGGAAAGAGAAAGTTTATCACTGCTACATTAATGCTGCAGCACATCTTCGAGAACGATTCACAGTTTCAGATCAAGACTGCAGCTGATGACGCCGTTATTTTCCAGGTTTGTTGGCCTTGAATCGCCCACCTGAGGGCCTCGGCCTGTCAGAAAACATCATCTTATAACACGTGGGCTGACTTTTCCCCTGACATTACTGTCCTGGTTTATTTTTGGGTGTAAGTCTATTTCAGTTACCACTTACTACTATCAATATACTCTGTATCAGTAATTAATAATGCTTGGCTATGTAAGTACTTCAATATAATTAGGGTTGCAATTAATGATTATATTAATTATCCATTAATCTGCTGATTATTTTCTCAATTAATCAACTGAATTGTTAGGGCTATAATATATCAGTTTACTATCATATACAACAAATAAACTATTCAAATCCTCACATCTGAGAGGCTGAAACCAGTGAATGTTTGGTATTTTTGCCTTAAAAAAACCCAAACTAACATTATCATTTACTTGTTAAAATCACTGCATGATTATTTTGTGGTTTTATGGCTCCAAAAACTGGGTTTCAAATCTGAAGTATTTCTCTATATTATTAAAAATCCATGACTAGATATGCATGTTAAAGTATGAAAAAGAAAAAAGACAAACACCCTTAAAGGGGACCTATTAAACTTTTTCTTACTTTCTGTCATATATAAAATGTTACAGTCCTGGATCTTCATATTAAATGTGGTAAAAGAGTCAAATAATGTGTTGAACATATGAAAAAGTAATCCTAACATGACAGCTCCCCAAAAATGAAGCCAAAACATCATGATCACCTCCTAGTGGCTGGCTGCAGTACAGGACATAAACTCCACCCCCTTTATCTTAGTGGATGGGATGCCAAACTAAAAACTCAAAATACATGTCAAATAAATTTTCCTAAAGATGTTTTTTGTCGCTTTAGGTAGTTCTCATCCTGCTGATGTGTGTGCAAGTGCTGGTTTCTCTAATAAGTTTGGTTGTAATGCTATAAAAAAAGGAAGCTTGACGTCATGATTGAAAGCTGTGTGCCAGTTCATGCATTTGTGATCAATGGTGCTTCTCGTGATTGGTTAGACCCGATGCCGTGGAGATCACTACAGCACAGACTCTGGCTCCAAATTACGTCACCAGCGATAAATGGCAGTGGCAATATTTGTGATATTTTGGCTTCGTTTTTGAACAGTGGGAGGAAGTGGAGACGTGTTGTCCATCTTTATGTATAGTCATTGCTTCAGACCGTTCTGAATATTCTGTTTCCAGCATTTTTTTTACCGACAGATGTCTTTATGTGGTCATCTGCTCCAGGTACAATACTGCAATTGTTTACGTTACCAATTCTACAATGCTACATGTAGCCACTCGCTAACGTCAGAGAAACATGTAAACTTGGTTGCTGATGTTTTTATTTTCTCCTGGATTTTGGATTAGTTGTTTCTCCTGGAACATTTTGAAGATTTTGTTTTAGAAGCTTTTTTTTGGTGATTTCCTTTTTTTTTTTTTTAAATTCCTGCTATTATGTTATAGTCATTTCCCTGGTTGCAGTAATGGTGCAGAGAGTGCGGCAGCAGAAGACTCAGATACACTGACCAATCGGAGCAGACTGAGCTTTTTGAGGAGGGGGTTGAAAAAGGCCGGTGCTAAAATGGCAGATTTTTGACAGAGGGTGAATACGGGAGTTCCATAGCAGACAGTATGAGGAAAATAAAGTGTTTTTTGAGAATTAAAGCATGAAAAGATGTTCTAGTAGAAATCTTCAATCCAAGAATGAACCTGAAAATGAACACAAGAGGTGCCCTTTAAATATTACTGAGAGTTTGATATTTAAAAATTCAGTTATTCAGCTTTATCAGGACTGTGTGGGTGAGATTTTGATTCAAATTTTGCCGAATTATGATTGATGCTTGGAAGTATTTGGCATCATCCTTTCCAGCTCAGACCCACCTGCTTCAAACCAGCGAAAGAAGCACAGAAACAACGACAAAAGAAATACAGAAAATCTCTCGTGAAAAAACTAAAACGGTTCAGACTTCAGAAAAATTTGTTTTCATGCAGCACCCAGAGTACGACCACTTACCACCATCTTGTTTCTCGTGACCCAGCAGTCAGGAGGGAAGTCCTGCAGCATGGGAACCAGGAACTGCAGACAGCCATCCCAGTGACACAGCAGCAGCATCATCCCGATCAGGTTCATGATGCGCACCATGGCGCTGGCCAAGTCGTAGGTCATATGGAAAACCTGTGTGCCGCAGATTATCAGCATTAATAAAACTGAAACAACTGTACACACATCTCTCTGTGCATACATCTATGAGAGATCAATTCTCTCGCATGCAACCAGTGGATTTGAGAACATACAATAGGTGCTTTGTGGGCCAACAGACACAGGGGTCCTATACCAGACCACACTGTACTTAATCTTCTATAGACCGCCAGAGGCTGATTCAGTGTTGCGTAACCATCTGCAAGCAACATTAATGGCCTATGGGGAGAACAGCCTCAGTTGGAATTATAGAAATAAGATAATGCAGGAGAATATCTGTTATTAAGGCAGCTGTTTGTGTGCGAGTCTCAGAGGGGCAACAGCGAATTAACTCATGTTGTTTTTTACAATAAGGAGTATCATGCATTTTGTCTGAATGAACAAAAATGGTTAAAAGATATGAGGGAAAGCTCACTATATTTTGATTATTTGAAATTTTTGATCGTCTATTTGTTTTGTGAAATGCCCATCAAATGATGTCAGAGCAAGATGGTGTCTTTCAATTACTTGCTTTGCACAATCAGCCATTCAAAACCCAAAGATATTCAATTTACTGTTTTCAAAGACCGAAAAAATTTATATTTATAATGATGTCAGCTAAGAATTTTGGGCATTTATTCTTAAAAGTGGCTAAGACGATGATCAAAACTGCTCCTGATTTGTTGAGGAACTGTCATGTAATTGGCTAACTGTTGCATCTCTATTAGTGAGTGTGAAGTCTTTTATGGAGATCCAAAGAGCCCGTCCCTGCAGGATCTACCTCTTCCCACTGGTGGATGTAGCGAATGAGTCTGGAGAGCCGCAGCAGCCGCAGCAGACTGAGGATCTTGGTGAACCGGACGATCCTCAGGGCTCGTGCCGTCTTGTAAAAGTCCGAGTTGATGCGTGTCTCGACGATGAGAAAAATGTAGTCCACAGGTATGGAGGAGATGAAATCCACCACGAACCAGGTCTTCAGGTACTTGATCTTGATCTGCTGCGGGTCCAAGATGATCTCCGTGTTGTCCTCCTTGACGATGCCCGTGCGGAAATTGAGAACCAGGTCCATGAGGAAGAAGGTGTCTGAGACCACATTGAAGACGATCCAGGGAGGCGTGTTCTCGTCCTTGAAGAAGGTGATGCCGACGGGGATGATGATGAGGTTTCCCACCATCAGCAGCAGCATGGTCAGATCCCAGTAGAACCTGAAACACACAGCCAGAAACATAACTCATGTTGCAGGAAACAGCAGGCCAAAGTCATTCAGGTCTTTAGATGAATCATCAGAAACTTTTCTCACACCTCTGACAGGATGAATGAGTTGGGTGTTTTTATATGAGGATGAATAAGTAATGTTTTTGTGTGTGTGGGTTGTTTTGACTTTTCTTTGGCTTTATGAGAGATTAGAGCAACAGACATTTGCCTTTTCCAACTTCTAAAATATGAGGATTTACTTCTTTTCTTTGACATATGTGATGGTAAAGTGAATATATTTGATTTTTTTGGTCTAAAACATCAGCCTTGGGGACATTATAATGGCCATTTTTCACACTTTGTGTACATTTTATGGACAAAATAATCTCAGTAAGATTTCTTTATTCAAAAGAACTTTGCTAAACTTTGCTTAAAGATGCCACTAATCTGCTCCTCTCTTTAGAGGACTATTATTGTATATTACTGACTACTATTATAAGGAAGCAATACTTTTCCTCCAGGGACAACAAAGTATATTGTATCGTATCGTATCGTATCATATCGTACCGTATTGTATCGTATCGTATTGTATCGTAGAAAATATGAACTTCTATCAATTTTTAATGTGAGCATATACCAGACTTGTGTATTTATATGTATGTCCAGAAATTTTAAAGTCTTCCTTAGACATTCATTCATACTCCAAAAGACACTCCAAGAATTTTTATCTTCCATATTGTCGAACTTCCCTTCATCTGATATTTATTTAAATACAGAGGACCATCTCTTTGGAACAACCTACTGCTATCACTACAATCAACATCTACATTATCGTTATTCAACAAACATCTGAAAAGCACTCACAGATTTACAACACTTCATTGATTCCTTTGTAACACATCTCAACTTTTATAGATAAACTATTGTAATTTGTGCAGTTCTATCAATTTTGTATAACTGCTTAGTGTTTAAAGTTAACTTCTGCAATCTTTGAATTGTTTTTCTTTCTAAAGTATGATATTTATTATTTAATAGGAGAGGTATGCTTATGGGCCATTTTTGGCTTCTAACCTCTCCTGCACGATGCCCTTTTCTATGCACGTGTAGGCACAAATAAACTAAACTAAGCTAAAATAATCAATAATCTAAATAACAGACAAAGACTGGTATCAAATGTGTGAGACACAATGTACAGCCACAAACACACTAGTGTGGGGGGAATACTGGGGGGAATTTAACCCGATTTTTCACAGCACTCAAAATAAAAAGCAAGCAGCTAATTACACAGCAACAAAATGTTTTGGGATATGAAATCCCAAATACCTGCCTTCTGACTGATCTCGGGAACATTAAAGGTGTGGTGATGAGAAAAGATATTTACTTGACTAAAGTCTTGCTTTCAGCAAGTCAGAAAGCTATTACCAGACACTGGCACAAAGAACCCCCCCAACACAAGGAAACTGTCCAAGAAATTTTAGTGATGGAAAAGTTGACATAAATTTTGGGAGATTAAGAGAATATATTTAAAAAGAACTGGGAAAAATTGAACATTTACATGAGACGTGACACCAACTAAAAGAATGCCTGACTTGAAGATACTTATATCGAAACCGTCCCAGACACCCATATATTGTTACCGTGTATTTTAATTTGGTTTGTGTATCGCACTGTGTTATTTCTGTGTTGATGTGTTTGTACTGCTGATTTATCTGTGAAAACTCAATACAAATGCAGGTGAAAAAAAACAAGATCAATAATCAGCAGATTAATCAATATGAAGATAATTGCAGCTCCAGGAGGAGTGCTGAGTATCAGCAGTTTGAACTCTTTGGTCTGTTTGCTGTTGCTTTACAAAGAACTTTAGAGACACGGGAACAGACACCATTTTTATCAATGGCTGCTCTTCAGTTCACACAGGAGACTTTAAACTCCAGAGTCTGAGTGTGTTTCTCTGTGAGTGCTGAATATCTGCTGCAAACTCAAAGCAACTCTGGATGTGTTGGAACTTCAAATAGAAATTAATCTCTGTGCAACTGGCAGTCTTATCACTTCAACTCAAAGCAGAAACAATTCAAACAAATTGAGAATAAACACTAAAAAAGCAAGAAATGAGTTGATCCTAGAGAACAGCCTCATTCGGTTCAACGCTGGGCTCCTGGCCATGGAGACGGAGAGAAAAATGGGTTATTGGAATCCATCTGAATTGCTCATGAGGAAATATTGATTTTCGAAAACAACTAAATCCTCAAGTGTCAGCAGCAGCGTGCTCAGTTTCATCTATAATTGCATTTAGTTTTGTTTACAGTGAAGTCGTTCAATTGAATCTCAAAACATTTTCATTAAAATTCATAGCTTCATTAACAAATACTTGCCAACAGCTAAATGTAAACGAGTTGTGTTATCTGACACCAAATCTAGCTGTGTCAATTACTCTGTTTCAGGGGCTTAGATTTTTCTTTCATCGTTTGGGAGGACACATATTTAGCGAGAGGGTAGAGGGGTCCTCACCCGTAAAATTTTGAGTGTCCAACATTTCATTGCCTGTATCCTGGTGAATTTTTATGCACCTGTTTGTTGCGGAGAGATCATGGTATTTCCTGCAACAACCCTGCATAATCACTCATCTTCTTTCCGTTTTATGGCACATGGCAACCATTGCTTTTAAGGTTACACGCTGCCATATTGAGGGTGACATGTCCCCTACGTACCCCACAACTACGCCACTCTACGCCTTTGCTCTGTTTACTATCCTGACATTTAATATTGTTCTTATTCCCCTGATTTGTAAGACTGCTTTTTAATTCTGATTGCCACAGCTGATGAATAAAAGAGCCGTTTATGAATCACAGGAAACATACAGCAACGTATAGCTCAGCCACACAATGGCCAGCCAAGATACCGAGAGTGTTTGTTTACCAATTACCATCTTAAGTGTGTATGTGACGCATGCACGGATGTGACTGCATGTCCGATCCATGTCAGAGACATAATTAATCACTCATTGATCCAACAGGAGCCTGACACACCTGCAGGGCCAGCAGAAACTGCTGGTGGGTAGGGGTGAGTGTCGGGGGGGTAGACCTGCGAGGGCGCATGCATTACACCACTTGAGGATAATTAAGCAGCATGTGAGGCAGCATACAGGGACCACGCTGTATGAGTTTGGTGCAGTGAACGCAGACCTCTCAGTGTCTTGTCAACAGGTATGATTCAAAACTGAGAAACAAAATCCATAAAGAAACAGCTCAAAGGGATAGGCAGCTAAATTGTGTTCCTGTTACGTACTCTGGGCTCAAATGAGAGTCCAGGAAAGAGGCGATCAAAACCAGAGAGGTGACCAGGGCACACCACAACCTATAAACCCAGATTTTAGAGTTAACGCCAAACCTTCACAGGAGAACATCTCAAAACCAACGAGGACATGGTGACCATTTGCTCTAATCAGCTTTCTGTTGTTCTCTGCCAAACAAAGCATTTGCATTCCTCTCTTCATCTGCCCGTTCGCCTCTGCGGTGACACACTGGTCCTAATTGCACTTCCCCTCTCTAGCTAAATCCACCGTTATCTCCTGGGAATCCATGTCATCTCCAGAAGTCAGCTCCCATCAGCCAGATGTTGAGTAGTTAGCATTACTGCTCTGCACACGTCACCATGCTGCAGAACCCTGGAACAGCTGGACCAAAAAAAAAAAAAAAAAAAAAGGTCTGCAGGGGACAGTGCATTACTGCCCCTGCAGACCATCTAGTTTGCTCATCAGCTGACTGTGCATGCAGCATTCGGGCCACAAAGATCAGACAAGTTGCTAGTGTAATCTGTTACCACACACACACAAAAAAAGCTAACAGTTGTGAGGTTTCTGGAGCTCAACTGGTCCAGAAAGGAATCTTGCACTATTTGGGTCAGAGTGCAACCACGTTAAAGAGCATGAGAGCACAAAGAGAGGGGAGTTACAAGCAAAGTGAACACAAAAAGGCTTAAAATGGTGAAAGGAGCTTAGATCAATCAGGACAGCTGAAAAAGGGATCACATTTGTACTAGAGATACTTATCTCTTGCTGCCAGAGCGCAGCTGAAGCACAACAGCCTGCATGCAGCTCAGTGGCTTAACACACACCTGTACTGTGGCTCAGGCCCACCAGCAATCATATTAACCATATTTACTCAGCGTGCCAGTTCGGTATGTCTGCTCCTGTGTCCACGGACAGCTTTAATAAAAGACAGCAGTTACTTATGCTATAAACAACACAGGGACTGTGTATATAAAAGGTACAAGCAGAGGGTTACACTGTGCTCAGCTGATGCACAGTGGTCATGGGAACACACAGTACACAGTATATGAAGTGAGGGAAGTTAACTGTGTGCAGGATTGGATTCAACAGTGTCTCACAAGCCACGAGGACCCAAACGGTCTTAAATGGTGCAAAGGTTTACAACTTAAAATCAGATCTGCAGGATGAAGTGTCCAACTTAACCATGCTCCTGAAAGTGTGACCCACACAGACCATGAAGTGATGACACCTCATACCTCATACACAGAGTTAACAGCTGGGTGTCCTGATTCCTCACAACATCCCTTTTTTCATTTCAATCTCTCTTTCTGTGTGTGTGTGTGTGTGTGTGTGTGTGTGCGTGTGCAGCGTTTTGTGGTGTGTCCCCTCCCCGTCCACACCATCTCTGCTCCATTAGACTAATTGTACTGTAATAATCTCCACTGATGTGTGCTTCTAATATCTTCTAATATCTCGAATGGTCATGTTACCCTATTTTGATTACCCCATTTCCAAGCCCCTGCTGCACTCTCTGTAATCCATTGCCCTCGCTAAATGATAAAAAAAAAAAAAGTGTAATTCAGATGAGTGGAAAAAAAACCCTGCAGTGACACACATCGGCGTACAACTGGCTGGTGAAAATATGATGACAGTGAGCCTCAAGGTTAAATGTCATGAAAATCCCATGATGGCGGTGATGAACAGAATGCTGGTTTGCATGCAGCGTGCGAGGAAATGTAGAGCATGCATGTAGCTATGCATCGCACGGCGTGGATGGTAAATTAGGGAAATACAGACTGCCTTAGTTTGGTGCACAGATTTAATTTATAGATGTCTGTGTGCAGTGAGTTGGTGGCTTAGATTAGCTGCAATGTTCCTGTGTGAATGAAACCATGTAGTACACACTGACTTGTCTTGGCCAAACAAAAGAGGGACTTATATCCTATATGTATGATATAATTTAGCTGCCATTGTGCGTATAAGAGGATTTTGGATGCAAGTCAAATCCTTTACATAGATCAGATGTTTTCCTGTGAGACTGGCCTGCACAGTAGGAGTGGTTAAGTCTTTAGAAAATGATCATTTTGAGAAAGGTGTGCATGGATTTTTATTCTGCAAAGGCTCCTGATGATCATTTTATCATGATATCATCAAAGTGATCAAAGAAGAAACACTCATCATGGCACATAGGGGATTAGTGTGTGTCTATGATAGGCTGCTAACTTTATAGTGACCACATCATATTTAAAGGCATACTCATATTTAAAGGCATTTTTGTGCTCCATTAAGATTATTCTGCTCTAAAATGATGAGTTTTTCTGCATTTGTCGACCAAACAAGCTGAAAATGTGTGACAGGATCACTGCTGCACTTTTGTTGTAAGACACCACTGCTTGCAAAGAAAAGGTTTTCTGCACACAAATTACCTAAAATCACTGTACGGGTGGATTATCCAGAAGCCAGCAGACTTCACTCGCTCCCTCTCATGCTCCACGGCCCTCTCACTCCCCAACATCCGCAGGGAGAACTTGTTGACTCCCGGCTGGAGCATCGCCCCAAACTGCCGGTGCATGAAGCCGGCTTGGTACAGCCGGTCGTCCTCAGGTATGATCTGCTCGGTGCCCTCCAACTTGATAAAACTTGACTGGTCAAACATTGTCGCCTGCCCGGCTGCGCCACTCACACCACCCGTTGCCCGCTGCTGGGCCCCGGGGCCGTGCTCACCGGGGTAACTCTCGCTGACACCAGCCTCGGGGATGAGGCGCCGCTGCTCCGCTGGGTCTGACCCGGGAGGATGCCGCCCGGTGATGGAAGAGATGCTACCCCTAAATAAGCGACAGTCCCCGTTCAAGTTGGTCTTCACAGTGACGTCCCTGTCCAAGTCTTCACTCCTGGCCTCCTCAATGCTCCTGCAACTGCTTGCAGGAGACGGAGAGGACAAATGTTTTAGCCGAATACTTTTCCTCTTTGTGTCCTTGTCGCCGTTGTCTCCCTCGTCAATCACGAAGGGTTTTTGCCCAATGTTTTGCGGCAAGCTGTAGAGCCGTTTGCGCATGGAAGACTGAAATCTTTCCATTTTGAAGAAGCAGAAGAGATGCGCTCTAAGGATAGCCCGTGAAAACAGAGGGATGAATCATGAATCTCATACACTTGGGGGGCCACTGGAGGCAAAACAGTGACGGCGCATCCGCAGGACAGGTTGTATCTTATTTGACACTTGGGACGTGCCTCTCTTCCCCCGGTTCAAACATTGAGATGCATCAACAATACGTGGCCTCTTCGATCCGACGGTCATGTAAAAGAGGTACACGGGAAATGCGTGTAAATCCAGGTAACCCCACAGCGTGCAGACGAGAGCGCATCAGGATGCAGCATGCTGAACGTCGGACGTGTCGGAGTGGGAGAACGAGCTGCTGAGCTCCTCAATGACAAAGCATGATCTCCACCTCCCCAAAATATCTGAGCTCTCTGTCAGTGCAAGGTGATGACACGCATGCAGGCGGGCAGCCGGCACCGGCGTCCACACAGCGCTGACATCACTGATCCATCAGCCTCCCCGCTTTCTAATAACGTGAATATTGATGGAGCTAATCTATCGGGTTGCCATAGGAGCCAGGATGGCACATGCGCTCACCCCGCCCAGTCAGGACAGCTGGAGAGGATGATTCAAGGATGCGATCCAGCCTTGGAGTTGGTAGTTAGTTGAGAGAAAGCGACGGGGTGTCAGAGAATAAAGTCAGGTGTGCAGGCCGTGTGCATCGTCCTACCATTGGTTTGCATGAAGAAACAACAGGGCAGCTAAATTATGTTTATATAGCCTAGTGTATGAGAAGCCTGATGGAGGGTTAGGTGTTTCAGATATGAGCCTTTTTTCATTGTGATATGAAAACAAATTCTGATGATAACAGTCTCAGACTTGCCCATTATTTTACCTTTGTATTAAACAGCCCTGAAGTCTAATGCTCATCATCATGTTTTCACTTACACAATAAAGCTCATTGTAAATCGAGAGTGTGCATGTCCAGTAGAGATAGTCTATGGGTTTTATAAGTGAACCAAATTCTGATATGAAGCTAAAATCAATAATGAAAGTGAAATAATGACTTAAGTTATATCAACACACCATTTTAAACCATGCTAAATCATTTTGAAAACAACAAATCACAGTGAACAACCCAAACAAAAATTATGGCAAAAATATGGAAAGATATGGCTCGTTGGTCTAGGGGTATGATTCTCGCTTTGGGTGCGAGAGGTCCCGGGTTCAAATCCCGGACGAGCCCACAACTGTTTACTTTGACTGATATTGTGTTCATCAGCTGTCATGCAGAAAACATTTGCTAAAAAAAATTACCACTACAGCGTTGATAGTGTAGCACTTCTAAAAAATTTGTGATTTCACAATGACGTTATTTGATAGAATCAGAGTTTACTCATCTCTTCAAAGGTTAAAGGGACAGTTCGCCCCCTCCTCTTACCTCCTAGTTTTATTTATCAGTCTAGATTGTTAAATTGTGAATTACCAAGTCTTGGAGATATCTGCTATAGAGATGTCTCCACCAATTTGAAAACAACAAATTACACTAAACTAGCCAAAGAAAAATGATGGCAATGATAACAGAAAATGTGGCTTGCTGGTCTAGGGGTATGATTCTCGCTTTGGGTGCAAATATTCCCGGATGAGCCCACAACTGTTTGGTTTGAATAATGTGATATTCATCATGTTATGCAGAAGACCTTTGCTGGCAAATACTAATAGTAATTTCAGTGTAGCACTTCGGGAAAACCTGTGATTTGATGACATCACAAGTGATGTCATCAAATCACAGGTTAAAGGGACAGTTAATGCCAAAATCAAAAACCCACATTGTTCTTTTTACGTGTTGGTTTATTTATCAGTCTAGATTGTTTTGGTTTGAGTTACCAAGTGTTGGAGATATCAGCTATAGAGATGTCTGCTTTCTCTCAAATATGGAAGTAGATGACACTCAGCTTAGAACTGTTTTCTTTACCAAACTGCTCCAGGTTCTACCTTACTCATACTAATACACCTGTTTACGTATTTAGGATGCAAAAAAAAATTAAATAAAAATAAAAATCACAGTAAACAAGCTGATGAAAAATGATGGCAAAATTCTTAAAAAATGTGGCTCGTTGGTCTAGAGGTATGATTCTCGCTTTGGGTGTGAGAGGTCCCGGGTTCAAATCCCGGACGAGCCCATAACTGTTAACTTAAGATGATGTGGTGTTCATTAAGTCACATGCAAAAGACCCTACCAAGTGTTGGAGGTATTAGTTATGGAGATGTCTGCCTTCTCTCAAATATAATGGAACTAGATGACACTCAGCTTGTGCATCTACTTTCTGTACCAAACTGTTTCAGGTTCTACCTAACTTATAGTTATACACGTGTTTACTTAATTAGGATGCAAAATCATTTTGAAAAAAACAAATCACAGGTAACAAGCCAAAGAAAAATTATGGCAAAATTTACATAAAATGTGGCTCGTTGGTCTAGGGGTATGATTCTCGCTTAGGGTGCGAGAGGTCCTGGGTTCAAATCCCGGACGAGCCCAATACTATGAATGGCGTGGTGTTCATCAGCTGTTATGCAGAAGACAATGCTGGAAAATACCACTACAGTGTTGTTAGTGTAGCACTTATGAAAAATCTGTGATTTCACAATGATATTATTTGATAGAATCACAGATAGGTCATGTTTTCAAAGGTAAAAAGGGGAGGTATCCCCCTCCTCTTACCTGTAGTTTCATTTATCAGTCTAGATTGTTTTGTTGTGAATTACCAAGTGCTGGAAATATCAGCCATAGAGATGTCTGCCCTCTCTCCAATTTTATGGAAATAGATGACACTCAACTTGTAGAAGTACCTTCCTACCAAGCGACAAAAAAATGTAACAGGTTCTACTTAAATTATAGTGATACACAACTTCATATTAATTGGGAAACATCTAATCAGAGTATACAAGCCAAAGAAAAATTATGGCAAAATTTACATAAAGTGTGGCTCGTTGGTCTAGGGGTATGATTCTCGCTTAGGGTGCGAGAGGTCCTGGGTTCAAATCCTGGATGAGCCCTTGGATGTTTACTTTTAAAGGTATTCATCAGCTGACAGAATACCTTTTAAAGGTATTCATCAGCTGACAGATACTATAGTCAGTGTAGCACCTCTGGAAAACCTATGATTTCATCATGGTGTAATTTGATAAAATTGCAGTCATGTTATGTCTTCAAAGGTTAAAGGGACAGTTCACCCCATAATCAAAGTCACATATTTTTCCTCTTACCTGTCATGTTACTCAATCTAGATTGTTTTGGTGGGAGTTGCTGAGTGTTGGAGATAGTAGCTATCGAGATATCAGCTATGGAGATAGGCTATGGGTTTTATATAGTAAGTAAACCAAATCCTTACATGAAACACAAATCAATGAATAAAGTGAAATAATGACTTCAGTTGTACTAATCCACCTGTTTTGTTTAGGATGCAAAATCATTTTGAATACAACAAATTACTGTAAATGAGCCGAAGAAAAATTATGCTAAAATTTCCATAACTTGTGGCTCGATGGTCTAGGGGTATGATTCTTGCTTCGGGTGAGAGAGGTCCCGGGTTCAAATCCCGGACGAGCCCGCTACTGCTTAATTTCAATGATGTGGTCATCAAGTGCTACACAAAATATCTTACCAGGGTTATACCTATGTTACTTCTGGAAACCTGTGATTTCACAATGATGTAATTTGCTAAAATTTCAGTCAAGTCATATCTTCAAAGGTTAGAGGGACAGTTTGCCCCCTCCCCTGACCTCTAGTTTTATTTATCAGTCTAGATTGTTTTGTTGTGAATTACCGAGTGTTGGAGATATCAGCTGTAGAGATGTCTGCTTTCTCTGCAATATAATGGAACAAAATGACACTCAGCTTGTGCAACTATTTTCTTTACCAAACTGTTCGAGGTTCTACCTAACTTATAGTAATACACCTGATGAAAAATTATAGCAAAATTTACATGAAATGGGGCTCATTGGTCTAGGGGTATGATTCTCGCTTCGGGTGCGAGAGGTCCAGGGTTCAAATCCCGGATGAGCCCATGACCATTACCTTGAATGATGTGGTGTTCATCAGCTGTTGTGCAGAAGACCTTTGCTGACAAATACTAATGCAGTGTTAAGTGTAGCACTTAAACCAGTGATTTCACAACAATGTGATTTGATAAAGTCAAGAGTAAAGGGACAAAAACATATTTTTCCTCTTACCTGTAGTGATATTTATCAGTGTAGGTTGTTTTGGTGTGAGTTACATGTGTTAGAGATATCGGCGATAGAGATGTCTGCCTTCTCTCAAATGTAATGTGTATCACTATAAGTTAAGTAGAACCTGGAACAGTTTAGTGAAGGAAATAGTTTTACAAGCTGAGTGTCATCTATCTCCATTATATCAAAGAGAAGGCAGACAACTCTATAGCGGATATCTCCAGCACTTGGTAATTCACACCAAAACAATCTAGACTGAAAAATAAAAATACAGGTAGGAGGAAAAATTTCAGTTTTTGATAATGGAGATAACTGTCACTTTAACCTTTGAAGAGGTGACCTGGCTGCAATTTTATCTAATTACATCATTGTGAAATCACAGGTTTCCAGAGATGCTGCACTTATAATGTTGCAGTGACATCTGTCAGCAAAGGTCTTTACCGTAAGACTTGATGAACACCACATCATTAAAGCTCAATAGCTCCGGGCTCGTCTGGGATTTGAACCCAGGACCTCTCACACCCAAAGCGAGAATCATGCCCCTAGACCAACGAGCCACGTTTCATGTCAGTATCGCCATAATTTTTCTTTGGCTTGTTTACTGTGATTTGTCATTAAGTTAAGTAGAACCTGGAACCTTTGGTAAAGAAAGTACTTCTACAAGCTGAGTCCCTATTTGATTAGAGAGCAGGGGGACATCACAATGGGTGATATCTCTAACACATGTAACTCACACCAAAAACATCTAGAGTGATAAATAAAACTACAGGTAAGAGGAAAAATTTTCTGATTTTGGGGTGAACTCTCCCTTTACCCTTTGAAGAGACAGCATGACCTTGACTTTATCAAATCATATTGTTGTGAAATCACTGGGTTAAGTGCTATACTTACTGCTGCATTAGTATTTGCCAGCAAAGATCTTCTTCACATCATTCAAAGTAAACAGTTGTGGGCTCATCCGGGATTTGAACCCGGACCTCTCGCACCCAAAGCGAGAATCATACCCCTAGACCAACGAGCCATGTTTTTAGTCAGTATTGCCTTACTTAAGATATTT